GGAACCACTCTGTTCTTACACCAAAGAACCATGGGATATTGAAAATGGGAAAATCAAGGATGAGCGGCCAACCTTTTAAGAGAGGAGGGATGGACCATGTGAGTGTGGATGCTGCTCCATGAACCACTCATTGATCTTGATAGATGGTGGTATCAAGGCATTGGAAAGAAGACTGGAACATATTAATTTCAAAAGCCATTGAAAAAATAATTGGTTGGTTTAAGTCAAGATTCTACGAGTATCACTACATATTCAGAGAAAATCATTGTGAGATCCCACATTGGTTGGGGAGGAGAACGAAATATTCTTTATAGGGTGTGAAGACCTCTTCCTAGCAGACGCGTTTTAAAACCTTGAAGGGAAGTCCAGAAGGGAAAGCCCAAAAAGGACAATATCTGCTAATGGTGGGTTTGGGCTGTAACAAATGGTATCAGAGCCAGCCACCGGGAGATGTGTTAGCGAGGAGGCTGAGCCCTGAAGGGGGTGGACACGAGGCGGTGTTAAAAAAGAAGAAAAAGAGACAACTTGAGAGAAAAACATCAAGGATGCTAAAAAAGATAAAACAGAAGAAAGAACATAGTGAAACTCTACCAAAAGTTTCTCCCAAGAACTTCTTCGCACGTGTATTCGGTGGAATGAAGAAACCTTCGAGATGCAAATATCTGCAAAAAAAAATGTCAAAAACAACCATTTTTAAGATTTCAACCAAAACAAGTTTCATATAAGGCAATAGAAAATCGAAAAGACTATCGGCTCACAATAGGATTATCAGGAAGTCTTGGGTTCGTGATAAAAAATTTCTTCTCAATTCGTTCCAATGTGGTAGCCAACTGAATTCCTTGACGTATGTCCCTTTCTCTTGTAGCGATACGATCACCGTCCCCAAGCTTGAAAACAGATGTCTCAACAACGGTCTGTTCTTCACGTTCGACTGCAGAGCCTAGAGTCCTTTCTTTGAACCTGCATAAGAACAAGAGTCCTGAAATGTGATTCTTATAAACAAAAAGGGTGTAAGAGTACCAAAAGAGTCAGCCTTGAGTAGAATATCAGACCATTGGTTAATAGACATGAATATATATGTATATACATATACTGAAATTTTTATTTGACGGTCGGCATCGTCCTTCCCTCATTCACTTAACTAATTCGTGGACGGAAAACGAACCTCATTGAGGAACTAAGACCTGATAATCCTGATTCTATTATTTACTCGTATGAATTGAAGTAGGATGGAGCGTTTTTAGATCTAACCGAGCCTTTTGGTTATCAGCTGTGCTAGTATTCTCGCCAGTCGTTTCTGGCTCTTCGGGCTTTCTATCTGCATCGTGTCTTTTTGACTGAACGGAAGATCTTAGGCTTTTCGCAGCCTCGACCTCAATGGACTTAATTACCTTCTCAGCTTGGACCTCTGTCATGGACATGGACGACCTCATGGACTTTTCTTTTTCTAGAATATCAAAGATGAGAGAAGTTAAGCAAGCAATCGCTTCCGTTCCAAATCAGAGGAGACGAACTAACTATCGAGTATTGTTTTATTTCAACATGATTACTTCTTCATACCTTCTGTGTTTTTGCCAATTTCAACCTGCATTCTGAGAAACGCCACAGGAATGTCGGTCAGTGTATCGACTTGCTTAGTAGTAAAACATTGAACCCAAAATAGCAGCAAAACAAATCAATAAATTTATCGAAAAGCATAGTTGGTGACACAGCTCAGATTAAAACAACCAATCTAGTGCACCCGTGGGAACATCTCTACTGACAAACCATTTTAATAGTACTGGTGTTGTTGTGCCACAAGGCACGACCATGGAAGTATGAAAAAGAAAAAGTTATTTAGTTAGACCATCTGCTCGAGATGTTCGAGTTTCCCATCTCTAGAGAAGATGAAACGCTAAAAATGAAAGTGTTCGGAATGCATACTGAAAAGATACCAATGAAGCTGACCAGTAATGACTAGTTCGAAGACCAGCAGCGGATCAAATAAAGGACCACTTTTAGAAAATGAAAGAAAAGCAAACGCTCATAGTTCTCCGCCCAGCTCCAACTACTTCTTCGTAAGTGAGGTGAGGTACTTATTTCGGTTTAAAATGGGTCGCCCTTTTTTTGGTTGAAGTCAATACAAGAAAAAAGTAGAAATACAAACCCGATAAACTTGATGATGTTGCCATGGGAATCCTTGACAGGCCCAACAGTGAGAAGATTCCAGAAAGGAGTACCATTCTTCTTGTAGTTCAAGAGCTTGCCACAGTAGCTATTCCCCTTTCCGATTGCATCTCGTATTTTTGCTACTTCGTTCTTATCCGTCTCCGGTCCTTGAAGAAAACGGCTGTATAGAACAACATCAACATGAAAAGGGGGAAAAAAAACTACTTTTAGCTTTCAGGGAAAGTTCAACTAAACAGGGTATCAAATAACAAACTTGATATCTATCACATAACAATACTTGATTCATTTCTAACCAGTTCCTTCCAATGAGCTCCTCCAATGTATATCCAGTCATAACCAAGAACCTATCACTGGCAAACACGATGGGGCAATCCGGTTTTGTTGCATCTGAGATAACGTACGTCAACGACGATAAATCGTCGATCTTATTCTTCTCTGCAGTCTTTTTTGTCATGGTTGTTTCCAAGAGTTCAGTAAAAGACGACCCAAAGCTACCACTGAAGCTCTTTGTGTATGTCTTTGTTGTATCTAAGTTTTCACTTTCAAATGCCATCCACTTTTTAGATGCTTTCATGCTGGCAGCAGGACAAAAGGAAGTGTCGGTTGATTTTGCCCCAACCTGATCATGAGTGGCATCACTCTCTCCTTTGGAATGGTCATCTCCTAAACTTTCAGGCACTTGAAAGACTTCAATTGGTGTCCTCTTCTCTGTAGGGCTGATTTGATGAGAAGGATATGACAGATTAGACTTTGATGGCTCTTTGGTTTCACTCTTCTCATCCATTTTTTGATCTTTCTCTCTTGCACGTGTCCGGAAGATACTGTTGAATCAAACGAGCGAAAGTATGAAACTCGAATCGTACTCAAAGGAAAAGCAAAAAGAGAATGGGAAAAAGCAAGGTGGATACTCATTGTATTTCATTCAATACGGACATGTTGTAACAGCCCAAGCCTACTGCTGGCAGATATTGTCTGTTTTGGTCCGTTACGTATCACCGTCAGCCTTACGGTTTTAAAATGCGTTTACTAGGGAGAGGTTTCCACACCCTTATGAGGAATGTTTCGTTCCCCTCTCCAACCAATGTGGAATCTCACAATCCACTCCCCTTGGAAGCCCAGCGTCTTCGCTGGCACACAACCCAGTGTCTGCTTGATACCATTTGTAACAACCCAAGCCCACTACTAGCAAATATTGTCCGCTTTTACCCTTAACGTATCGCCATCAGTCTCACGGTTTTAAAACGCGTCTACTAGGGAGAGGTTTCCACACCCTTACAAGGAATGTTTCGTTCACCTCTCCAACCAACATGGGATCTCACAATCCACCCCATTGGGAGCCCAGCGTCCTCGCTGACACATTGCCCAGTGTCTGGCTTTAAACCATTTGTAACAGCTCATGCCCACCGCTAACAGATATTGTCCACTTTTACCCGTTACGTATCGCCGTCAGCCTCACGATTTTAAAACGCGTCTACTAGAAAAAAGTTTCCACACCTTTGTAAGAAACGTTTCGTTCCCCTCTCCAACCAATGCGGGATCTCACACATGTACAAAATGCAAGAGCATTCATAACATCACTACAGCCATACAACAGAAGATACTGCCTCTCTCAACTATCTTCCACTAACAATTGGTTTACCAACAAATAATCACAGAATTCAACAGACTTAGAACAGAACTAATCTGGGAATTCTTCCAATGAGCCCTCTAGACAAGCTCAAGAACACAAAACTTCAAAACAACCATCAGAATGAAAATGAAGAACATAGCAGAAACAGAACTTTTGCTACCATGGATCATCAGCTAGCACAAAAACTTCAGACACCCATTTGAAATCAAGGAACAATGAGAACTAAATACCTTGTTAATATGTCAATGAAAAACAGACAAACAGAACAGGATAAACTCAAACAGGTGCTCACCTGCAAGGAAGAAGCTCCAATGGGGATATTTTGCGCAACAGTGATCTCTTTCTATTACTAAACATCATTTTGCCTGATATACCAGCACTACACACTCGAATGAACAATGTTGGAAGAAGAAGTTTCAGAGTTAATATGAACGAAAAACAGCATAAAAACTTAAGAAAAAACATCACTCCCTACGTTGTTTTCTTTTCTGGGTATGTATCAATGCTAGCTGCGATGTCGGTAGACCTAGTTTTTTCAGAAATTTCAATGGATTTTCCATCACTATCGATAAACCCCATATGAAAAAAGTGGATAAAACAAGCAGTTTCGTTACAAAAATCAAAGGGTCTTGATATTTTCTCACCATATGGAATTTGTCCGGTTCAACTTTTTCATCGATGAACAGAAATATCTGCTCCAGAGAAGACCGCATGAAAGTGAAGGAGGACGACCGTAGGATTATGATATGGCATTGGCGGATTCCAGACCCCATGAAGCTTGCGATGAGTTATCGTTATCTAACGATGAACAAGAGAGGTGCAATCCTGAGTTTCTCTCATTTTCCGGGAAAATTTGGAGGTATCTTCTGAGTAGCCAAACAATAATGATCCGTCCATGTAAGGCTATTGCAAAGTGTCCCCACCGCCCTCCCCTGCTTTGGGCTTTTACTTCTTTTTCCTTTTGCTATTGCTTTCAATGGAATAACCCTTTTAGCGTTCTTGTTCATGACAAACAAGAACTAACAAAAATCTCTTTTGTTTCTTCCCACTAGATTTTTTATTTTATACACATAATATGTATATATACGTGTGTATATATATGTATACATATATCTACATATATGATTAGAAATTAAATAAATAAATAATGATTGATTTATAAGACGAAGTGGATAAGTAGATGTGTTACCCGAATTTTGCGTTCGAAATAAAAATGGTATTTTTAGTACAAAATTAAAATGGTTTCGAATCGAGATTGTTACCTTCATTGTCTGCGTAAAGAACAATTTTTCGAGGGAAAATGGAATGATTCTTCATCTCGAATTGAGGAAGAAATTCGGTCGTTCTCATTCGTTGTGTTGATTTGAGCACTGAAGATTCTGAAAGATTAGGGTTCGTAAATGTGCCGGAAGACGGTGAGGACCAAGAGTCGCCGTGGCGGGAAGTCCAGGCTTTCCCGGCGTTCCGCCGCTTCTACTCCGCCACCTATGGTGTCTCCTTCCTTCTCTGACCAGGTTCGTATTCATTTCTCCTTCTTTATAGAAATGGAGCCATTTTCTTTTTCTTCTCGCAAAGCAAGTCGTTTCGTTGTTCCGTTGCTCTTCGCGACTGAAACTGAACTGTGATCCACGATGTCGTCGTTTGTTACTCGCTTGGATTTTTCTGAGCAAATGTTTGATAGACCTAATCTTTAGTGTTAACTTAATTTTTCCTAATACAAATTCGAAGAAAGGGAAGAGAATGTTTGCTTAAAAAACGATGGATTTGTATCTGGTCAGGATGCGCCGAATGCAGAAGGCAACACTCTGAATGATGGATTTGCATCTTGTAAGGATGTGCTGAATGCAGAAGACAACACTGTTCATGAGGCTTCGAGGAATGAAACTAATGATGTGTTGGATAATATAGATTGCTTTCAGAAAGACACTTGTATTAGATGCGACAAGAGTGGTGATCTATTGGTTTGTACTGAAATTGGATGTCCAATTGCTCTTCATGAGCTCTGTATGTCATGTGAACCTTCGTACGATGAAGAAGGGCGCTTCTATTGTCCTTATTGTTCATATAAAAGAGCTTTGGTTCGTGTAAACGAATCGAGGAGAAATGCTATGGTGGCGAAGAGAGCGTTGTCGAATTTCGTTGATACCAGGATGGTTGGTGGTGGCAATTTGCTGCAGATAGGAGAGGCAGGTAAGAAGAAAGCATCTAATGTTTCAACTCGTGGAGTGGATGCAAACCAGCCTAATCATGGAAGTCATTGGGGCAATGATAGCTCACGAGATCAGGATACGCAGATCGAGCAAAATCAGAGTAACGAAAAGGAAGACCATGCGAGAATAGCAAGAGATGTTCAAGCAACGTCGATGGTGAGGGTTATTGGCGAAAATCATGATGGTCCTATTGTGTCTAATATTAGCAAGGGCATTTATTCAACTCCTGAAGTTCAGCCTTGTGAGGATTCGATGAATGAAGAGGAAACTCGTGAGGCTGACACATTAGGAACACATCAGGTAGAAAGTTTAGAAGATGAAGATGGGGAAATGATGGACGAAGAAAACTTAAGGTCAACCGATAACCTTCAGGATGATGAAACTGCGAAGGATCGAGGTCAATCAGCGACTACTAGTCCACATCGTGATGGGGAGACTGCTCAAGAACCTCAAGAACAAGACAAAGATGATGGTGGAGAACAAATCCATCCCAACAACGAAGGGATGCTTGAAGATACCGGTCTTGCATCTGGAAATAATGATTTGAAGGATGAAACAATCGTGAAGAAAAAGCGCTTTAAAATCAAAGCTAACAGAAGATCAAACCGACAGAAATTTAATTCTCCGAGAAAGTCGTTGCGTTTACAAACTTCAAATCCTGGGAAAGATCATGCTACCAAAATTGAGAAAGTTTCTGCATCCAGGAATTTAAGGATGCAACCAGCCTCTCGTAATCAATTGTTAGTCTGTTTATAGGCTAACATTCAATTTCTACATTACTGGATTGCAGTGCATTGCAGGTGTTTTTCAGCAGTTTCTGATCATAAAAGTAATTACAACTAACTATCATTTTCTGGTTTGCAGCAAAAGCTTTGATTTTCATGGTGGGAAGCGTAAGAGAATGCGTTGGTCCACTGAAGAGGAGGAAATGTTGAAGGTACCAATTCATCAGTTGATCAATTAAGATGTTTTGGACTGTTAGCATCATTAATTGTTATTATCTAACCGTCCAAGCCCACTGTTAGTAGATATTGTCCTTTTTGGGAGCCCGCTGCTAGGGAGAGGTTTCCACACCGTTATAAAGGGTGTTTCGATCTTTTCCCCAACTGACGTGGGATCTCACAATCCACCCCTTCATGGTCCAGCATCCTCGCTGTCACTCGTTCCTTTCTCCAATTGATGTGGGACCTCCACCAAATCCACCCCCTTTGGTGCCCAGTGTCCTTACTAGCACATCGCCTCGTGTCTACCCCCTTCGAGGAACAGCCTACTCGCTGACACATCACCCGGTGTCTGCCTCTGATACCATTTGTAACGGCTTAAGCCCACCTCTAGCAGATATTGTCCTCTTTGGACTTCTCCTCAAGGTTTTTAAAACGCATATGCTAGGGAGATGTTTCCACACCCTTATAAAGGGTGTTTCGTTCTCCTCCCTAACCGATGTGGGATCTCACGTTAGATTTCATCTTTCAGACTAGTGATATCTGTTCCTATGTGTGATCCAGTTGTTCTCGTTTTTATTATTAAATCTCAGCCCCAAAATGATTAGATCATGCAGAAGGGGAAGAGAAATATTTGAACGCACCTGGCATGATTCTTAGAATGGAAAATTAAGTTCTCATCTGAATGTTAGCAAAGCTGGTTGACATGATCTACCATGTAGAAAAGTTTTCTGACGATTTCTCTTGCATTAAAAGAATTTTCAAGTTCAAGCTGCTCCGTGCTCTCAATTCATTCGTGTCGTTTACTAATATCTGCGAACTCTCTTCCGAATCGGCATCGAAAGATGTCCTTGATTATGCATCTCGTCTCTTTTTTGAATCCTACTTAGGTCAAAGGACATGAAAGTAACTCATATTGGCCAAATACTAATCTTTTGTTTCTAATCATTATTTGTTTCTTCCTTATGCTAACTAAAACTACTTTTTTCAGGAAGGAGTTCATAGATTCTCTTCTACAGACAGTAAAAATGTTCCTTGGAAGAAAATTTTGGAATTCGGTCATCACGTATTCGATAACACTCGTACCCCGGTGGACCTAAAAGATAAATGGAGAAACATTCTAGCCAAATAGTCTTACGAAAAGGTAACTTCTATGATGTCTATAGCAAGTTAATGGATGTGTTATTATGTTTCAATTTTTCTTTTGGGTCATGTCCTCTTTGTAAGCAGCAGGTTGCTAAGTGTTCTTATATGTGCTCAAAGTATGAACATCTATTACTTCGGTTCTTGCACATATAAAACATCTATCCTCTGTCTTTGTTTGCAAAATTGGAACATGAATTTTTTTTTATACAATAATATGCGTTTCAAAAGTAAGATTAAATAGACAAAAGTTAAAAGTGCAAGAACCGAAGTAAATATTTCAGAAGTCGAGAATTAAATGAAACATAATCTCTTCATCAATTAGTTTTGTGTACTTTTAAGTGCTTAAAAACAGTTTTTGAAAAAAATTTAAAAAGTTCTTAATACCACATTTGTTTGTATTGGTTTTTTAGGTTGGTTTTGTTTGATTATGCAGGGCCATCGATGCCGACTCTCTTGTGGGAGAAAAGTACGTCGGAGTTGTTTTGACGTTTTATTTTTCTTAGTTTGTGTTATCTCGAGATTGTTAGCCTATCATATCATTGTAAATTATGGAATAACTTGTGTGCTTTTAATCTAACGAAGAAGTATTTAATGAGTCCTAAACTTGATTTTATTTTTTTATTTCTAATTATCTATTATAAAATTAAATTCATTTATTTATTAAAAAGGTTTACATGAGAATGAACGACATACATAGAGCCCAATAAGCATATCTTGAGTTGGTACAGATCCTCAATAGCTGAAGACAAGAGAGCTGAAGACAAGAGATTCATATGAGAAAACACAAGTAAACGCGTCTCTGCTTGAGTGTCCAATGATAAAGTTACATGAACATCCATTTGATCCCTATCAAAGTCTACATTGGATCCCTTACAAACTAATGGAGGTAAACAAACACCACATCCTTCCACTAACACCAGTGAATTTAGAGCTACTAACTTTTTAGTTTGGAGGTTATTTTTTGTGCTTAAAATGCTCATAGCTATATTTACTTATTTAATGCGAAAGACGAATGGACCATAATTAAAAAGAAAACTTTGAAAGAATGATATTCAAAAAGTGAGCTGTTATTGTTCTTAATAGGTGATTATTTTGAAGGAAATGGGGTACAAGGGGGGAAATGAAGAGAAAGAAGGAAGGTAATGAAATGATGGAGTGCAGAAGAAGAGGAAGAGGGGAGGAACATTTACAGCATAAGTTAAAAGTAGAACAGTGCCTAATGGTGGGGACTGTGGACTGTGGATTCTCTCCCCTAAACTCTGCATTTACTACCAAATGGAACAGTAACCAAAACTGAGGAAGAGAGAGAGAGAGAGAGAGGCACCAGTTCAATGAAAAACATGTCTGCTCTGTTCTGTTCTGTTCTCTCTTTAGATAACAGTGCCACTGGGAATCAAAGCATCCTTGATTACTGTCACGATCCCACTCTTTATGAAATACCCGTCTGTCTCCCTTGCTGCTTCTTGCACACCGTCTCCGTTCACGATCTGCGATGAATATCAATCGGCCAGTTAGAAAATTATATAGCAATTCATTCATACCCAACTCATGACACTCAACCAAATGTCGAGACAATTATATCACAGTTCATTCATACCCAACTCATTGGCAACTCATTGGCACTCAACCCAAATGTGTATTTAGACTCGGCACGCACTTATAAAAGTTCTCAACAAATTCTATTGATCTTTGAAATTTAAAAATGGTGTGTTTAACTAGTTATCATCTCCAAATGTGGTTGGTTTTTTTTTTTTTGTAAGTACAATTTCATGGGTTAAGGACGGGTTAGATACCTAATTAAAAGTTTATACCATAATTTTTAATATATAGATTATAAATAAAAAAATAAAAAAAGACCAAACGTGTGCGGCCATGTGAAGCTGATTTGTACTAGATTTATTCCCACCGTCAAAACTACTTTAAGAGAGAGAAAAGGCTCTTATGAACTCATTTCTTGTCTATTTGCCTTTGTTCCTTCTCAATGGAAGGAGTGGGATTTGATTGAGAGTAAAAAGATAATGGAAATCGACCCCACCCCGAAAATGCATGATAAGATATAATAACACAAATGTTAAAAACGAAATAAAAGCAAACAAAAGTTGACATGACAAACCTTGACATTTTCCCCGATGCGAGCATTTTTGTCAATGATAGCTCTCTTGATGTGGGAATTTCTGCCAATGCCAATTGGTACACTACCCTTTGCCGCCAATAACCTACGGTCGGCGTCCGTCTGAGGAGCACCACAAGGAAAACAACAAATCAGTTTATGCTCTAACCACCCCTCAATTTATCTCCTCAACGAATGATACATTGCATGACTTTCGTAATAATATGATATTGTCCAATTCGAACATAAGTTCTCGTAGCTTTGCTTTGAGCTTTCCAAAAAAGTTTTATATCAATGAAGATATATTCCTTACTTATAAACTCACGATCATTTCTTAAATTAGTTAATGTGGAATTTCCTCCTGACAATCCTCAACATACAATTACAAGTCATTTAGATGGCTCTATATTTTAATATAATAGTTTTCCAACATTTTCATGATGTATAAGAATCTAAAAGTACTTCCAAGAGAGCTCAAAGCTATCTGAAACTCATGATAAACAAGGTTATTATTGGCTACAGACCTCATAATAATCTGCACCCATCAATAACGTGTCTTCTATGATTGCACCTTCGGATATGCAAGATCGGAGGCCAACGACAGAATGATGAATCTTGCAGTTCTGAGGAGAAAATAAAAAAGGGGTTATTCCAACTATGGAAAGGGGAAGGAATAATGCAGTTAAGACGAGGTAATAACACCATCTTAGCATAGCAAAGAGCTTCGTAAAGAAGTTACCTTTATGACACAGCCCTCACCAATAACACTGTCAGTGATATCAGCATCGAGCATTTTCGACGGCGGCAAGTACCGAGGTTGGGTGTAGATTGGAGACGAACGATCATAGAAGCTGCAATTGGGTGTTTCGAGTATCAAATAAACACATGATAACTTAACAATTCATTAATAACTTAATCAAATATTACCTAAAATCTGGTACTGGCTTCTTTGTGATCCCCAGATTTGCATTGTAAAAGGCTTCAATGGTACCAATATCTTCCCAGTAGCCATCGTACAAGTAAGCTTGCACCTACAAAGTCAAATCAATATCTTTATTATAGAAATCGCAGCCCTTACGAGCTCTGAAGTCATCGTTCTCCAGCAAACCAAGAGTAATCAAATGTGACATGAGTTCAAGATCAGCACTCATTCATCTACTACTTTGCCTTTTTTTTCTTTTAATTTCTATTATTTTCTTTAATCACTAGCACATATTGTCCTCTTTAGACTCTCTTTTGGGGCCTCTTTAGACTTCCCTTTTGGGGCTTTCCCTCAAGATTTTTTATTTTTAAAACGTATCTACTGGTGAAAGGTTTTCACACCCTTATAAAGAATGTTTCGTTCTCCCCCCAACCGAGGTAAGATCTTACCCATGTACTGGCTAGAGTTTGCATCTGACAACTCGATTGTCAAGGCCACCGTTGTTCGGTACTTTCCACTAACGAATTCTATGATATATTTGGACAATACTTTCATCAATATTGATATTACATATATTTATGGTGCATAAGATCATCATATCCATACCCTCATTCCAATGGAAGTTGCACCAGGAATAACTTCACTCCCAAAATCATTTGCTCCCGGAAATTTTTCTCTTAGAAGATTCAGCATCACATCCTTACTGATAACGTAAATACCCATGCTGGCTATGAAAGGCATCTCTTTCGCTCTCTCATCATCAAGACCCAAAATAGTAGTATCAACCTGTAAGAAAGAAAACAGGATTTTTTTTTTTTTTTTTCTGCTTTAGACTAACCCATCTAACAAGAAAATCTTATGAATCAAGACATAGGAGAACAGTTTATTATGATAAAAAGTATTGGAGTTTGGATTCACCTGCATCGCTTTCAATTGGTCTCCTTTTGGCTTCTCTGCAAACTCAATTATCCGTCCCTCTTCATCAATTTTCATCAGACCAAATGCAGTAGCACGGCTTTCATCCATGGGAAGTGCAGCTACAGTGATATCTGCATCAGTCTCCCTGTGTGCTTGAATAAATCTCTCGTAATCCATTCGGTACAAATGATCGCCAGCAAGAACTAGATACTCCAAAACATTGTGTTCTTCAAATAGCCATAAATACTGCCTAACCGCATCAGCTGTTCCCTGCAGGTTTCAATGCCAAACATTTATGAGATAAGACGGAGTATATCAGATCAAGACAAACTTAAAGAAAATGCATTAGGAAATCGGAAGTGTTAAGACAGAGTATATCACAAGATCAATGTTCTGAACAAAATGGAAGGTTTCAGGGATTCCAATTTTCGCATGAATTATGAAAGAATAAACCTAATTTTAATTCCATCACCTGGAACCAATTTGGATTCTCCGGACTCTGCTGGGCCGCAAGAACCTCAACGAATCCTTCATTCTTGTAACCGCCCATGTTACTCGCATAAGCTCGGGAAAGATGACGATTAAGAGACGCAGAATTGAATTGCGTTAGAACATAAATCTTGGAAATGTTGCTGTTGAGACAATTGCTAACAGGAATGTCAATCAGCCTGTAGTTTGCTCCAAGAGGAACAGCAGGCTTCGCCCGCTTCTTAGTGAGCGGATAGAGCCGCGTTCCAGCACCACCTCCCAGAATAATCCCAAGCACACTCTAACCACACAAAAACAGATAACAGACGCCATTAAATCACCATCCATTCTAGAAACAAATCGCAGCGGCTCAATACAGGAAATCAAACGAAATAAACTCCGCGAACGCATCAAGTACAACAGGCAATAAATCTATTCGATTCCAATCGATTAACGCATTCAGAGAACAACACAAAGAAACCAAGAATACCAACCCGGCTAGCATCGGGATCGAGGCAAGTCTGAGAGTTCTTGGAATCAGAAACCGCTTTCGGAGAGACGATCAAAGGAGCCGCTCTACCACCTGAAACACGTCGTGATCCCAAAGCAGAACCTCTAAAGTCGATCTTGTCACCAGAAATGAGAGACGCACCGAACGAGAGGCTTCGAACACTGCTTCCCCTTACACGGTTAGAACCGCCGTTCGACGACGAAGACCCCGACGTCGTCGAGACTCTGAGAACTCCACCGGCAGCAATAGAAGACGCCATTGGAGAATCAATCCAAATTCACAAAGCGAAATCCGGTTTGTTCACCGATCAGACAGTGCCCGGGAAAAACAAAAAACTAGAGATTAGCTCGCAGCTCAACTGCCGAATGAGGGAACCGCTTTGCCACTGATATTTGATGTGGTCTCAGTGTCGATTTTACCCTTCATATTTCCACTTTATTACGTCGTTTACCCTCGGTTTTCTAGACGCAGAACGTGGTCCTGATAGGGGCAATATGGGGAAAAAGAAAATTCGAGCGGTTCCCCAATAAAATTAAAAGGAAATTAATATTATTTCTAATTTTATGAGATTTGAGTGGACGTGGATTCACGGATCTATCCATTAGTCACATGGACTCTTCCTTTTTCAGATTTTTTGGGAACGGTTTCATTCTAATATTTTCTATATTTTTTAA